TATATTCGTAATCATACTTATAAACATATGCATGGGTAATTTACCTGTATTTAATAGCATTTTATGGGAGAATTGTACTTTTTATGTAGCAGATTTATCAGCACAACAGATTCACCTTTCAATATAAGCAGCATAGAATGTCGGCCCATGTGTTATTGATTTACTTTTGAGCGAGCCGATTTGGCGTAGTATTAATGATCAAAATAAGGAGAATCGAAATTGTTTGAAATGTTGGTGCAACAGCCTTAGGGAAATAATTTTGTTAATCAATCATAATTTCAGTCCAGAAACGCCTTAGGAAAAAATGAAATAATTTGTGTCCCGAAAACTGTATCCATTGTGTTCAAAACATACCAGATGACTGATCTAGCAGTAGTTCAAGGACCAAGATCAAATCTGAGAATAGTAGGAATGATATGCGTTATATGCGAGCATTCATTTTAATTAAAAAGAAAATATGCTCATTAAGGATACTAATGGTTAACAAAAATGTGGAAAATAAGATTTAATGGTCACATGTTGACGGCATTATGACGTACCATTCCCCTTGCAATAGTTATAGTGATTTTGAAATATATATGCACTTGATGCAAAACCAAAACTCATCAGAGCAATAGAGCTTATGAGGGCAATACAGGCATACAGGGTATTCACTGTTCATGTTCACATTTGTTTTATGTTTAAGGTTGCGTGTGCATGTAGGTGTACGTGCATGTGTTGTAGACAGATTGATTTAGGTCGGATGTTAGGGTCCAAGGTCAGGTCTAAAGGTCAAGGTCTCGGTCAGTGTCGAAGGTACACAAATATTCAGTCCACAAACAAATATGAATTTGAAGGCACGAATCAATGTTTCACAATAAAGTGGATTAACAGTTTTATCCAAAGTAAGGAATGAAAATGCATCATTACATGGATATTTCAACAAAATTTTAAGTTTTATTTTAACAATTTGATATTTGCTGATCAACTTCAGTGTCACAGTCATCGGCCATTTTCGCAATGCAGTTACTATCAAATGGCACCGGTGTTTGGCGAATTTCTGAACTGAAGCCAGGCCGGTCGGCGCGGTGTGGTGCAGTTGATGGCGCGAGGTCCCGCTGACCAGCGATGGGCGCGCACGGGCCGAGACGCGTCCGTCCGACGGCGCGCGTGTCGTCGCTGACTCTGAGGTAGGGGGCGGGCTGCCGTCGCCGATGGCGAGGTCGCGCCGGGTGCCGAGGACAGTTTAGGGGGCAGTGGTGTTACTCTCTGTGCCCTGTCGTACCGGCCGAAATCGATACCTTCCCCCGGCCGGGCGGGAAGACGGAAAGTCAGCCGCGGGCGCACTTTGGCCGGCCGAGGTCAAATTAGGACGGTATGTGAATATTCAAAGACGCATAAAGGATCTCAGATGCTGTCACTGGAGTTGAAAAGTCTGACAACTTGTTTGACGTGAAGATTATCAGCACCTTAAATTGCTCAATAAAAAATTATGCGCGCATAATAATAGCAGGATGAAACACCTGTATTATATAATAAAAGTTGTGTTGCTTTATGTGACTGAAATATGAATCACAAAATGGCAATGTGTAGCATAAAGATCGATTTATTATGTACTGACTCAATCTGTGCTGCAAGAATCAGCCATCTATTCCAAGTGGTGGTTAGTGAATGTGATTTCCATCGAGCTCACTGGTCCTTCTAGCAGAACATCGCGTAACCACTTAGTCATGGAAATAACCATAAAATAAAATAACCACTTATAATCATGAAAACTGTCACATCCCTTCAAGGCAGAAAACCTCTTAAATAGGTACATTGTCAGATTCCTGATGATTTGGCCTAACCAAGCATGCTCTGCACAAATCATCTTGTCTCGCAACTTTTTGCTGCATAACAAGAGAAATCTTAGGTTAAAATGGCAATCAGGCTACCGTAAAACTAAATATGAAAGACAATGTTCCTTCTCTTACACGGATTAGAAACAATGTTAATCTAAATTTGGTAGCAATATCTATACTTCTCTTCAAATTTCAAAGCTGTAATTTCGAACATTCCCAGCATTACCGTGTGGAAAGAATAAAGCGTTATTACTCAATTTGTTGTGCAGAGCTGCACTTCAGTTTTGCACGTTCATTTCTATCCCGCCATGCAGCTCCAAGCAAGCTACCTGGGATACATCGAATAATGTGAGTGATGACACTTGAAAATTAATGTAACTCAAGTATAAAGAAGATTTTATCAATTCATCCTCCAGTGGCAGCTCGGTCGTGCGTTCAAGGACCTCTGGTAGGATGCAAAGGAAGGGCCATTTGCCTGGCGCAGCCCCCAATAGAGACTTGCTCAACGCAGGCTTATATTACACCTTATTACAGTTGACAGCATCGATTAGGCTTCAGGAAAAACAAAACTATTGTTACGGACCGCTGAGTTCTTTTGCATTGATTGAATTACTTTACGTTACATGCCTAGCACATAAAAAATATCAGGAGGTGCTTGAATGCTCCAAATTACAACACTGTTTTTTAAGCTAAATAAATGAAATGTAAGTAAACACTTAACATATCAACCATTGCAACAATCGTATGAGACATTTGTAACAATCGTAGAGAACTTCGTTTTCTTCCCAATGCCATTTAGGGTTGAACGTCACATGTTTTAAGTAGGTATAGTGTTTTCAGTTGAATTCATTGTTTTTACCACTGAACACTGAGCCAACTGATCCGTCTCCTTTCGAGTTTGAGCAATGCCCTTACCATTGGCATTGTTATCATTGTTGACGCGTTATCAAAATATGATTTGCCATGCTTGTGATTAGAGCGTCCATGGAAATGGCCTACGCGTGGATCTAAGTGTTCTTATTTGTGGTTGGTGATGTGGCTTACCATGTTCATATATTTCGTTGTCTTTGAAGGTTCGAATATCTATTTGGCAGCTTTGGCATTTGCTGGGATGAAATCAGCATGAGCTTAAGTAAATTACATGAATAAAGTAAATTATATGCTCCATGAAATCTCTGTGAACTTGCATTGCTCTTGACATTCCGCATGGACACTCAACTCGACAGCCTGGCCGCTGCAGGCGACTTGCACATTGATGGTGCAATGCTGATAATACCGCAACCCGATCGGGAGGACGCTAAATGGCAACCACGCTCCGTATTTGTGAATAGCATGTTCTCAAATTGTTTGCAGACCAGAGATGACATTCTGATCGGCGCCTTTCACTTCATCTGGGGTGGTCTGAGGCGCTGTGGCGAACTTCAGGTGAAACACGCACACGAATCGGCCAGACGGTGAAAAGAAGGGGAGTACTGAAACGCGTGCCAGCTATAGACGGGGGGGGAGGAGTGAGCCACAGCGCCGGAGATCGGCTCAGACGCAGATGGGCGAACGGGGGGCTCCGGGTGCTGCCGCGACGCGCGACGCGCACCCTTCGCCCCATCCGGCGCGCAAACAAACACACTCATACAGTTTTACAGGCAGATATGTGCGTGGATCTCAAACGAATGGATCCGGGACCTGATCCGGATATGTAAATGGGACTTAAGTGATGCCATATCAAAATGTCACTTGTTTTGCACACAGCTGCTCTGAATGCAAAGGCAACATTTTGATCCTGTCGAGAGATCCAATGAGGTCACAGATCCAAGTACATTTGTTGAGCGATTTTTGTTTGACCACGAGTCTTAGATGCAAAAGTATGGAAACATATAGTTGATCTTCTAGAACAAAAATATTTAAAACTAATTATCTACGCCGGAAATCAATTCAAGAGGGGAAATTTTGGCATGTGCAAGTGCTACAGCAAACTAGAAAGCGCCGAAAGCATCTCAGGACAGCAAAATAGTATCGTAGCATTCCCCCTGAGCCAGAGCCAAAAACAATCCAAGAACCTTAAAAGTAGAATAAAACTGGTGGTCAATGAAACAAACATAAAATATATCGAAAGGTTATATCATAAAACGTGTTTTACATGTATATCCACTTGACTTGTTCTCTTTATTACAGCAATCAGCTTGTAAGGAAAAATTGTGTCATGACGTAAAAGGTGAATGCTGAATTATTGAGGAATGATATCGTAGATGCCACCAACTATGGGTTAACACAGCAACATCTTTTTAATATTATTTTGAAATGAGGTCTTACCACGGATGGAGGGTTAAACATAAAAAAATGCAAAAGAAATGCGCCAATATGAATTTCCTATTTAAACTGTGCCTCGCGCAATGAGGCGTTACCTGATCGGAACAATAGAAAAGATAGGTACCTATATTTGTATATCGCATTGATTTATTTTTAGTCCTCGGCTCATCATCATATCGGAATATTGTTTTATAAGCAAATTTTACTAGTTAAAAATTTTACAAGTACAAGTATATCAACTTTAAATTGTTTCCGTCTTTGATTATCTGAGACAGAGCTGAGCTTTGATTATCTGAGACTTTGATTATCTGAGTACCTGGGGGAAAAACTTCCGTATTGCTTCTTTGCCAACTATTGCAGCCAGACTGTTACTACAGATTTCACATGGCATTCAGTGCAGTGTGATTAAATGCAGTGTGATATATTGTAGTGCAGCGTAGCTCAGCATAATAAAATATAGTACAGCGTAATTCAGTGTGGTATAGTGTATGTACAGAAGTGTAATACACTCAAGGAACAAAACTTTACGAGTATGTTAGTGTCATACCTCACGTGGTTCTTTTCTCGTGGACCCCATCAGACCGTAGACCCATGGCTGGGATCCACGCACATGCCTGCAGTATGGCCACACATACACACAGTAAAATGTATGACACACAGACTGCCAGCCAGAGGCTGCGGTCCAAACAGAGCGTTGTTTTTCGGGGCGGCTGAAACCCAGCGGTCCAAAGCGGCAGTTACGCCGAAATGAAGATGCTGCGCCGGCCAAGGTACGCCGGTAGAGGCGGCCCCCGCAGGGGCTGCGCCAGGCAAACAAACTACTGTTGATGGGGAGGGAGTGGCCAACGCTCTGTTTAGCCCTATGGAACATTGTACCTGGGAGCCGGGCCAGCTGCTCTTGCAGATCGCGGATGTGCTTGATGGCATGTTCGATAATCTCTGTCTTCTCGATTCGTCCTCGTCCTTTCCGCTGGTGACAGGAGGGTACCAGGTGCGACAAGTTGACCAGGCAGTTGTTCATACGATCCCGCCGCCGCTTCTCGATCACCCGATGAGACGTTGGGTCCTGCCAGGCAAGGGGCGCGTCGCTCGGGTCTCAGAAGCCGAACACGACATGCGGACGACAGTCAACGATCATGCCAGCGTCATCGATGATGACCAGAGCGTCATCGTCGATGATTCGCGAAGCTACATTTCAAATATGTTTCGGACGTTTTGATCCAGAGACAAAATTGCGCCCAACGTTTCGCTTACATATGGGTAAGTACCTACATGCATGTGCTCCAGGCTCGTAAGAAAGTGATTATAGCTCCCTTAGGAATAACTACTTGGCCATAAGTACGGCGATCAATAAAAATGCAGACAAATAAATTAATTCGAAGCCACAAACTGCCTATTAAACTTACAGACGCTCATCACCAAGCAGCACTGGCCAAGGCATACTTAAATATGCTTAAATTAAGGATGGATCTTGACAAACACCTCAGAAACATTCGGTTTAAATTGTAAGCTCGCTGTCGTTAACAACCTCCCGGTAATAGCCCTAAATGTGTAAATGGATTGTATTGAATTTTTATACGTTTCAAAGAGCAGTGATTTAAAATTACAACATGTAATTGATAAATATTGAGTGGCAAGTTAATTTTACTTAATGCATTTGCTTTCTTATTGCAATCGCATGATTTGTCCATTACAGCGGACTTGTGACATATATATTTTGGGTTCCTCTGCACACTTAAACAACAATTAATATGCCTGCAGGAGCACAAGCGCACGGCCGCACGGAAACATAAATGTACACCCTTTTTTAATTGTCATTTGATAAAGTCAAAAATGAGAAAGCATTGCATCTATTGTATACTCCCAGTGTGAGCACAATTTGCTCTAAACGGCTGGTGCGCTATCATTCCAACCCAGCAGCAATGCAAATGCTATCAGCTGACAACTTCAGTCAAAACCCACAAAGCTAGGTTAGCATTTTATCTGTGTTACTGACAAAATGATGTACCTACAGATCTGGAAATCAAACAACATTATTCAAATAAATAGCCTTAACAATGCACTTGGAGCAAAGGTTGAGCCCTATCAAATGCTGCCCAACAAATGATGTCATGGTATTTCGAACAAGCAAACAGACTGAACCAGAGATGTTTCAGCTTTACCATAAAAAGACAGGTTGGAGACGCAATGGGAGCGAAAAGATGAAAATGTGACCTCATCTGGAATGAGCATGACATGAACATTTTAACGGAGCACACAAAACAAAGAATAAGACGCTGGTTGAAAACATCATCGTCTGACCTCTTGACAGGTGGCCGGTGGAGCTCCAAATCTGGGCTTTGAGGAGGCGAGTCGGACGTCGGCCCATACCGCGGTCTGGCAAACGGCTACTGCAACTGGAACAGCTTCAGAACGTACCTACTTACGTATCGATCTGCTGCAGGTGTGCTGGCGACTTACAGAATGCCCACACATATGTATTGCAACTCTCACTAGCAAATGAAGGGCAAAACGCCGATGCAGAACTATAGGCGGAAACACGATCCTTTGACAGATTCTTTATATAAATTTCAGGCAGTATTTAGAAGACATACGACTGTCAGGAGGATTTTCAGGACCTATGAAAAGTACGGCTACCTGGCATTCAGGTAGCAAAGGGCGATTTGATAAACAAAGACCAAAAAGCACGAAGCTGGTAAAATTTTAACCGTGTATTACTCCACCCACAACTTTTAGAGGTTCGTGCACTCTATTGAATATCGGTATGGTGCTGCAATCTTGGCTGCTTTCTTATTGGTTTGTATCCGACAATGCAAAACATTACATTGCGCGAATAAGTGCGCCAAAAAAGACGCAGTTACAGAAAATGGACGGTCCGCACAAAAAACAAGCATGCGATTGCAATAAGAATGAAAATAACGCAAATGCAGGATAAATCAGGAAACATAAAAACAGCCCTGGCCATTTCATGGCAAAAAGTCAAAGGCACGCGTTATATGTCGACAGAAGGCAGTGTGACTACACGAATGTCATTGACAGTGATTGAAAGTGACAGCGAGCTGACGGACGTAGATGTAGCGGCTGTTACAATTTCAGTGTCCAGTCTGCAGGTAACCACTTGCAGAAATTCGATATTTGTATATTTCATCTGCAGGTCTAGCCATGGAAGATATGTCAGTACTGCGTAAGGAATAACTTGACTAGTGCAAGTAACTTGACCAGGTCAGAAGACCAATTCATGACCTGATGACCTTGACCTTGAACGACCTCAAGGCACACCACTTGAGGAACGTAGGGCTTTGGGCTTTGAGCTTTCGGCTTTGGGCTGTTTGGAAGTATCTAGAGATGTCCAATCTGTCAAACAATTACTAGAGATTGGGTCCATTTTGCGACCTCCCTATAGTCCACGTTAAACGGCACATGACAAAGGGATCTAGAGAGCTCGCTTTTCCACTTGTTTTTATGCATTATCTTCCAAACCACTAGGTTTTCGACACCAAACTGCAATAACCTTTTTCTGTATCAATCTTATACCTTGTGGTTTTTATCATAGGTAGCACAGGCTTGCCGGCAAGGACGTTAAAAAGATGCCGTGTTCGGAACAGTAGTTTTCGTCATCAATGCACGTACGAGTATGTTACAGCAGTGTCGTCACCGATATATGTCAGTTACAGCAGCATCTGTCATTAATACATGTCGGTTACAGCAGTATCTGCCATCAACATATGTCAGTTGCAGCAGTGCCGTCACCAATACATGTCTGCTACAGCAGTGTCGTCGACGTCACCAATACATGTCTGTTACAGCAGTGTCCATCATTAAAATATGTCAGCTACAGCGGTGCCGTTACCAACATATGTCAGTTGCAGCAGTGTCCATCATTAAAATATGTCAGTTACAGTGGTGCCGTTACCAATATACAGGTATGCCTGTTACAGCAGTGTCTGACATCAAAGCATGTCTGTTACAGCAGTGTATCCATCATCAAACATGTAGGTATGTTAGAGCAGTCGTCACCAAAACATGTTTGTTACAGCAGTGTCCTTCATCAATACATGTCTATTACAGTTATGTCTGTCATCAAAATATGTCCATTAGGTACAATTGTGTCCACTGTCCATGCTTAATATATGTTTGTCGTAGCAGTGCCAGTCGTCAATGCATGTATGTTACAGAAAATCCACCATCAGTACCTACACTTTTTGTCACAGCAGTGTCCGTCATCGGTAAATGCCAGTTACAGCAATCTCCATCAACAATGCATGAGTATGCATGAGACTGTTACTACTGTTTTCTTTAACAATGCATGACAGTTGCAGGTAAGTCCGACAGCATTACATGACTATTGACTACACTATCGCGTCCAAAAATGGATCACTGTTATTGCTGTCTCTGTCGTCACTATATTTAAGTTGCAGCATTGTCCGTAAGCAATAGGTAAAGGTCGGTCACAGCAGTGTCTGTCATCAATACATGCCCGTTGCCGCAATGTCCATCAATGTATGTATGTTTCAGCAGTGTCGTCACCAAATGTCTGTTACGGCAGTGTCATCATCAATACATGTCTGTTGCAGCAGTGTCTATTATCAATACATGTCTGTAACAGCAGTGTCGTCATCAATACATGTCAGTTACAGCAGTATGTGCCATCAATACATGTCAGTTACAGCAGTATGTGCCATCAATACATGTCAGTTACAGCAGTGTCTGTCAGTCAGGAGTATATGCCTGTTACAGCAGTGCCGTCTCAGTGTCGTCATCAATACATGTGACATGTCTGTTACAGCAGTGTCGTCACCGATATATGTTAATAACAGCAGCGCCCGTCATTAAAACATGTGTCAGTGACAGCAGTGTTTGTCATCAATACATGTCTGGTATAGCTGAGTTCCTTATCAAACATGTATGTTACAGCAGTGTTCGTTATCAATACAAGTTTGCTACAGCATTGAGCATTGTCCGTCATCAAAACATTAATGTGAAAGCAGCGTCTGTCATCAATACATGTCTGTTAGGTATGGCTATTTCCTCATCAAAACATGTCTGTTACAACATGGTGTCCATCCGTCATCATTGCGTGCAGTTACAGCAGTGTCCACCATCACAAAAGGTGTGTTACAGCAGTGTTCGTTACCAATACATGTCTGTTACAGCAGTGTCCGTCATCAATACATGTCTGTTACCAGGGTTGTGCTTGACTCATGAGTCGAGTCAGAAATCTGACTCAACTCTGACTCAAATGAGTCAGATTTGAGTCGAGTCGGATAAAATGTTGAGCTGTTGAGTTGAGTCAGAGTTGAGTGGGACAAAATATTAAGGTGTTGAGTTGAGTCGGAGTTGAGTCAGTAAAATAGCTTTTGACATTGAGTTGAGTCAAACATTTAGGAACATGAGTCAGCTGACTTAACTTTCTAGTCTGAAGTTGAATGATGAGTCGAGTCGGCAAATTTTTTTGAGTCGAGCACAACCCTGTCTGTTACAGCAGTGTCTATTATCAATACATGCCTGTTACAGCAGTGTCTATTATCGATGCACTTATGTTACAGCCTATTATCAATGCACGTATATGTTACAGCAGTGTCCGTCAGCAAATCATGTCAGTAACAGCAGTGTCCGTCAGCAAATCATGTCAGTAACAGCAGTGTCTGTCATCAAATCATGTCAGTAACAGCAGTGTCGGTCAGCAAATCATGTCAGTTACAGCAGTGTCTGTCAGCAGGACATGCATGTTACAGCTGTGTAATTAGCGCACGTCTGTTGCTTATCTTGTGTCTGGTTTTTAACAGCGGCGAATATCGGTAGAGCCGAGACTTAAACCTCCAGGTTTCACATAAATAACTATGTCCTGCTGACCCGCTCTGGGCAAGATACAAACTCAGAATTTTGGCTCAATACTATCAATGAATGAGCGGAAAAAACACTAAAGTTCTAGCTCAGGCCGTTTTTGTATTAAACAGAAAGCTTGCCGACGAGCCAGGTCAATTTTAGAACAACATATTTTTTGGAAAGGAGGGAAGATTATGAGAATAGTTGATTCCATTACCAATCCGTTCTGATTATTTTGTTTTTCATAAATAGAGTGTCATTTCAGTGACCAATGTGCATTCATGTTTCCCTTACCAACAGACATATTCAGTTTTCTTGCGTTTTTACTTGCCCCAGATTTTAGTGATTTTATCACTGCGCTGTATGTATTTGCGCACCTCTCCATGCTTGACTGGGTTTACTTGAGCAATGAAACCGGCAAAATAAAACAATAAAATACTTCAGTTTCATCATCCCTGTGTCGTTGGTGAGACAGCCTGGAATATACCCAAACAGAGAGCCGCAACGGTTTTTATTTAGGTCCTTAAAATATAATCAATACTAAGGCGACACTCATGTTCGTCAAAAAGCAATTCATCAGCATGACGAATTGCTTTTGCTGAATCACGTCAAGTACGCCAGCTTCACTGACTTTCTAATCAGAAAATATTTCTGTCAGTAATCCGGTAGAACACAGAATCCAGTTTCAGCCTGTATTGAATGCAAATTCTTCAAATGCAAACATTCCAGACAGACCCTTGTGCAGCAGCATCTGAACTTACCGCTGGAAAGCACTCTTACTGTTTGGGAGTGAGCCGACGGGTAGAGGGCCGACAGCTCCTGGGACGAACCGGACACGCACAAACTTACCTAAAACGGAACCAGAGCTGATGTTAACCGACATTATAACCAGCAGCTAGCGCTCAAACAAGCAACGGAGGCGACTCCTTTGGACTCGTTCAGAATCGATGGCACCTAGCACTGACTCTTGTGAATTGAATGGCTGACTTCAGAAAGTCGCGCTAAGTACTTCATGATTAATATCTTCGCACACTCAACTGAACCCTTCGCAGGAAGCAGACACGGAGGCAGCCACGAGTCACCAAACGTGCACAACTGCTCGTGAAAAGAAAAAATATTGTGTAAGAACTACCAAACTTTTCGGAACTTTTAATTAAGTTGATCAGTGATCACCTACTTTATCATCGGAATCCAGTTTGGCCGAGCCACGTTGAAGGACAGACAAAGCTATCCACAGCAAGATATTTTGAGATTCCACAAGATTTCATAGCGGCTGGACGGTCTAATCTGCACGAATACTGACAGCTCGTTCGCATTATCTTTACCGGAAAAAATAAACAAGATAAAGCCCTCCTCGTGTAGGATTTAAGCAAAAATGTGTCTTGTTTCACCTATATTAGTTCTAATCCATCAATGTAGCTGAACAAATCAATTTACGTACTCTTGAGCTCATTTTTGAAGTCCTTAGTCAAAAAATAGCATGCTTATAAGGCAAACTTCAAGTCTATGGTTAAGCAATGAAATAAAGTCAAATGCTTTCAAATATCTGAAAGATATTTACTGCGCAAAGTAAATGAGTGCACAGTTAGTTATTACCCACGCCGTGACTCAGCTGGCGTTTCTACTCTACTCCTCTTTAACCCATGCCGTGCTGGGGGGCGTAAAAACGCCCCCCCCCCTCAGGTTTTTCGCGAATATATCAAAAACGGCGGCGCGCAGCACTGCCGTTTCTAGTACACCTGTTCATACATCATTTCCGCACAGGTTGTGAAAATTTCAGACCCGGGTCGTTCAAGGTCAGGTCACCAGGTCACATCAAGTGACCTTACCTCACAGAAGAAGTTCAAAGGCTCGCTTTAGTTACACTGACTGAACAATCATTTTGAAACTTTTAGCGATTGATATGAGTAACAGTATGCATTAAATGTATATCTCGGATTTCTTTTAATATCTTAGACTTAGGGTCAGGTCAATTTTGCGACCTCTCCATTATAAGTCAATGGGAGAAAATTGAACTACGCTTCTTGACATACTGAATCGGAAAAAATGCACCTGTGGCCCCCCTGTGTGCCCCTGAGGTCATCTCAGGTCATGAACCGTCACCAGCAATTCGTTGTCTATGACTTTTGATAAAGACATGCTAGAGCGATGACAACACGTCAGATGTGTTCAGCTCGACAATACGGATCGACTGACATGCAGCATGGCCCTTTCCGGTCAGGTCATCACCTTAACCCGAGGTCAAATTTTCCCAATGATCTTCCAAAGGTCAACAAATAGTTCATTTAGGATAAATGATAACAATAACACGTCAAATGTATATTTAAACACACAAAGCTTTCGGTATGAAAATACCTTGATCACTGTGTTAACAGAAATGAGGACAGAAATTGTCACCGGCAGATCTATTGATCTATGATCTATGTTTCGAGTGCTATTTTATATTTTTGTACAAGCTGCCGGTGACAATTTCTGTCCTCATTTCTGTTAACACAGTGATCAAGGTATTTTCATACCGAAAGCTTTGTGTGTTTAAATATACATTTGACGTGTTATTGTTATCATTTATCCTAACTGTCTTGGATATTCTACAAAAATAGTTCATTAGATGCGTCTCGACGAGCGGAGCACGATGCTGCCAAAAGTAATGTCGTGGCTCTCTTGAGTCAAAAGTTACTGTCGAAAAACATGTTTCGTGAAAACGGCTATTTTGACAGTGTTTGCCCTCTGAAGGCTAAACCGTTGACCTGAGGTCAAATCTGAGAATTATAATCAGAAAGGTATGTAGCAGGGCTATCGAATGCGCTTTTCTGCGGCACTGTAGCTCTGTTGGTTCCCGAGTTAGCCGTGGGCAGTTTCCAAAATTATTGAAATTTGACCTTTGATGGCCTCTGGTTACCTGACCTTTGACCTGACCTAAAAAGTGACCGAAATGTTTCCGTCATTATTTTTGACGCTCTTTCGATTGCCGCTTACTGCCTGTAATTGCGTGGCCTAGGAGCCGAGTAAGAGGGGGTGAAAACGCCCCCCCCCGCACGACACGGAAAACACAGGATACCAGCACGGCTGTCCAAAGAATGGTTGCGACCAGAAGATAATGTTTCGGCATCGACAAGTGCCTACTATAACTTAGAGTCAAACTGGTGAAGCAGACTCGATCTGCGCACACGTACTCACGTCGATGCTGGCGCCTGTCGCGCGCGTCGGGCGACGAACGAAAACCAAACTGCTAATCGTCAAATAGTGTTTGTTAAACGAAAAGGGCTCATCCGGAAGGAAGCAAATGAGTAAAGACCTTGTTTTCTGGAGTTTATCAAGTGTGTAAGACACTCATGTATTGGAATGCTAATTAGCAATCACTATGTGAGTTCTACGTCGTTGTTTTTTTTATCACAATTTATGCGGTTTTCCCTACGACATAAATAAACTGAATAAACTTTCACCTGCGGTTTAGTCATTAAAAGCGAAAAGCAATCAACCTTCGGGAGAAAAATCTCCAGCAAGTCTTGCAACGCTGCACCAGTACCATAAGACATCTAATTACAAGACAGTACATTGCAATGATCGACTTTCATATTAACGGCTATTTGTATATTAGAGTTACAGATAATGGCATTAATTTGCATCCACCGATGAACAGCGTACTTACCGGAGGAGGTGGATTTGCCATCGGCGTCTCCAAACTTCCCTGTAACAAAACACAGGGTAAACTGTTAATGTTACGCCATTACATTTGAAAACGGGGGCATGCACAAACACACAAATACTGATCAAAAAGCATCCGAGCATCTGCCCAACACGATCAATGCGCATGTTCGTCAAGTTCGAACTTGGCATACATGCTGCTCTCACCATGGACATAATTACTAAAAACAGGCCAACTTTTGGGTACAAATAAGATGTAAAATTCGTTCGTGTGCAGGAGGTTTCGGCGATAGCCAGCGATCGATCGAAAAAGATGATAGTATGTAAACAATTTGAGATTCTCATGTACGAGTGTTTGGCGCATAAAGCTTTGCATAATTTAATAATTCCGTCGAATTCGTCGCTGACTTTTACTTCAACAATGTATCGCCCTGCGTAGCTCATTTATTGCTAATCCATACTAACATGTTACTTGCAATGTACCACACTTCTTGGATTATATTGAAGCACAACTCACAGTATCATATTGAGAAACGTGGTCGTCATAGCTGGTTAGATTGGACTATGCCATTCGAAATAATTCTAATGGCGTGACATCGAATCGATTTGTCAGAAACAATAGTAGGGGATGTTGTTTCAGCAGCAGAAAAGTTGCAATCTGTTGTAAAATTCCACGGCCGATAATGGATCCGCCTGAACCGCTCGCTACAGACGCGTCGAGAGAGCGGCGTGGCTCCTGATAAAGTCGTTCGGCTCGGGCAGCGGAGCGGCCCAGTCCGGGGCCGGGGAGACGGCGGAGGGGGGAGGGGCGGCAGCTGCTCAGAGGTCGCGCCGTATTCCTGTCGCGGCAGCGCGCGGCCCGCACCCGCTCTGAATGGCAGTTCACTCCGGTCCCGGCCGGCGGAGGAGGGCGGCACTGCCGGCCCGGCGAGTTGGAGCTGGCCGCGCGGCTGCACTGGTCAATAATGGAGCCGTGGGCCGCGGGACGCCGCGTCGGCAGCCGGACCGACGGTCGTCGACGCTGCCGACGCCGGCCGCCGACACGTGGCCGGCAAACGTGACCGACGGGAGCGGTACTGAGTCGGGGCGAGCGGCCCCGGAGAGTCCAGCGGTACCGAGTCGGGGCGAGCGGCCCCGGAGAGGCCGCGACGACCCTGCACTCGGCATGCTCATTCACCACGGCTGCACTAAGTGCACAGTCAACAGAGCCAGGTAGGGGCGGCGCCACACAGGAACAAGGGAAGAAAAGTCAGGTATTGGAACGGCTCAACCTCTACGGGTAGCTGGTAACAACTATTCACCCCACACAGAGACAAACAAGCCAATGCCTCTAGAATATGCCATTCAATACAAAATACAATAAAATATTCATGTTGCGCCGCATGCTGTATATAAATCATAAAACTAATGATAATTATGACGAAACATTAGAAATCAAGGTAGCGTAAACCACCTCAGGACTTCAGTCTGAACTTCCTTGCATGTTTAGTGAACATCTATTCCCAACAGTGCCACGTGTGACTCGTGGCGTGGGCACGCTCGCAGCCAAGGCCGGTGGCACGTGTATGGCAACGTGCAGCGATTATAGGCGCAGTAGGCCGGTGACGCCGGGCAGATCAGATCACATTCATGCCGCTGGAGATCAGATGTATCGTTTGATGGTCTTCTCAGTTACCAAAACGCTTTAGGTATACATTGCATTATTTTTGTTAGAAACTCAATGTCACTGAAACAATCAGCTAGTGAAAATTAGAAACCAACAATAAAAATTAGGGCGAATACCTAGAAGGAAAAATACAGCAAATCTCTGGCTGGAACTATCGCTTTTCTACTAAGGCATGTCCAGGCGGGGTGGGGGGGTGGGGGGTAAATGGGACCACACTCACTATTTCTCCCCTAATTGAGCTTGAATCTCCCGCAAAAAAGGAGTATGTGTGCCGTGACGAGACACTTAGACTAGTGATTTAAGGTATCAGGTCAACCAGTGACCTTACCCAAAGGTCTCCGGTCTCAGGCCAGGTAAATTGCCCCAAGGTATGGATTCAGTTTTTGATATATAACTTCGCCAGAAACAGCTGCAGAGCCGAGAAGTTGGCACCAGCATGCTATTCATGTTCAGGCGCCGCCAAATGATATACTTTTTGCTTGGGTGAGGTCAAATTAGGGTTAAGGCGTTGACCTCAGGTCAGAGCCACTCAGGTCACGGAGCTGGTCCAAAGGAATAATATTAGCCGTTTTCACGACGGACTATCCGGCGAGTGCACCTAATTTGACCAAATCTGCACCTAATTTGTATTTGTATTTGTATTTATTCAGTTTATTGCCAACAGGACAGATTCCCAATGATAGGCAAAGTCGAGTAGATAAAACACAAAGTCGAGTAGATAAAACACAAATCTCTTTTACAGCAAATATCTTTATTTTATGAATCTATTTCAGTGTTTTAATCGATGGTACTCTCTGATAATATGACAAAGCAGGCACATAAGCAATTAGTGCAACCCTAGCTGATAGCTACTGAGAGACACACTGAACCTAATTTGACCAAATCTGCACCTAATCTGCACCGGATGTGCACCAAATGTGTACCAGATGGCCGTCGTGAAAACGGCTATTGCAAATCATTCGATTCGGCAGGTTTTCTGAGTCCATACATGGCTTCCTTGACTCGCTAGCTCAATCTGATCAGGAGATGTTGAAGAAAATACATCTGGCTTTACCAAAGGCTACACACTGAATGTTTCAAGGAGTGCATGAATCACGATTTCATGTATACTTGAAGTAGTTTTAGGTCAGTTTCGGCGCTAAAATATGATAATAACAGTTCCCCATTGGCTTATAATGGTGAGGTCACGTAAGCGGCCTGAACTCATGTAATCGATGCTAGTTGCTAGTTCTGATGATCGTTACAAGGTATTATGTTTGCTTTTCAAACGATTTTATGTCCATTTAATAGCTTCTGTGTTTTTGACTGGTAATCGTTACAATAGCAGAAATTTGGATATCACTAGCTTTAAGGAAGAGAAACTTCTTACCATAACGGTTAAAACATTCAGGATTGAGCAATCGGATTGAACTTCAGCCAGCGGAGCCAGAAATAGTGTTCGGATGCGCAACATTCTGATTCAGCTCCGTGCTCAGCAACAAGCGCAGCAAGTTTGCACACATCCGTTGGAAGATCCTCTTAGCACAGCAGACAATCAGCCCCGCGATGGCTTACGAAATATTAGCCGTGACTATGACATGTAATGAACCACACCTAAAATCAACGCAAAGTTTCTTGGATTCGCCAAGAAACAACCGAGACAGCAGGTTCCCTGGTCGAATACCCGAGTCACCTTTACCCGTTTCATTGTCGTTCTGCGATCAGACGCCTGCTATCTCGATAGCGTTTTAGTGCACATTTGTATGAATGGTCGAAAAGTAAGAATCGGTGGCAGGAGAATGGGAGCGGCGAGCGCATTAAGAAAATCAGCAGCGGAGGTCCGTCTATGTAGGAAAATTAATCAGGGCCACATCTAAAAAAGGTTGTCAGACACTCAATACGGAAAGAGCGACCGCGAAAAAAAACGACTGTTCATCAGTTTCGAGGCTTCTAGATTTTCATTGTCCATAGCGGTACCAAAATACCTAACGGTACCCTCCATTAAAGGGACTATCCCACCTTCTAAAATGTTGTTAAAACCAGTTAAATTGTGCCCGACTTTATAGATTGGATGACCAGGAACACGGTTCTGGCATTTATTTTTCATTAAACATCTTAGGCTTCCCATATTCCAAACACAAACTTTCAAATATGTGACGTCACAGCCCAAAATTACCTCCTTCCCCAGGCCACATTACTGTCATAGAGCTGATTCTTTTTACTCTGTAGGCACCACAACAAAGTTCAGACCAAGTTTTAAGCGATTTTTCAACGAACAAACCCATTTAAATCAGAATGACTCAACGAGGTGACGTCACACTAACGGTCGCTCCATGTTGAAGATAGGGCCTTGTACAAGGCCCATTTTCAAATGAAGGGAACGAATTTCTTCAACACCAAGAGGCCGCGGGGGTTGCAACCTAGATAGACAGTGGTTTCTGAACCTCGCCGCAAACTTGGCTATCTCAACTCAAACCCCATGTTAAGGGTGGGATAGTCCCTTTAAAGGGATCAGATATTTAAAAATAAATAAATAAATAATCAGATATTTGCGCATTGTCCCTTTTATTACCTATTGCCAGTGAATCCGACACTGGCTCCAGGTGTATGGGACTCCTGAGAGGCGCTCGCTATTCCATAGATGCTCAAGTGTTTGATACTTTGGAGTCTGAGACAAAAAGAAATAGACTAGCATTGAAGCAGAATTGTTTCGAGCATTAAAATGTACCTATAAACTTGAGGCCACAACTCGATGAAGTCCTTATTCCTCCTCCCCATCATATAATGTCTAGTAATACATAACGTTATTTCACATACCTACATTAACTCTCTAAGGGATTGGTTTCAGCATATTAGTTTGTCAACGTAAATAATAGCAAGGTGCTTATATTCAGGTGCCTGTGCTCAGAACACAACGGACAAAGCAACACAAAATCCGATGAATAGAAAATGAGCTACGGATTGTGGCGTATCTCTCAAAGATTCTGTAGTGTCTCGCTTCGCTGGGATTTCGCTGCGTCGCCGATACTTGTCGGAGAGTGCCGTGCGTGCACGTAGGTAAGCAAGGGATATGCGTTGAGATACTTCACTTTGGTCATGTATCTCAGAGATAAGCACTAGAAAGTTAAAAAAAAAATCAAGAAGTAATTTGAGAAAGGTGAAAGTATAGTCATAACAAGAATGGCCGCTGACGAGATTAAGGCCACGCGGTGCTGGGGAGGGGGGTTACGCCTCTCCCCTCAGGTTTTTCGCGAATAACTCAAAAGGGCGGCGCCCAGCGCTGCCGTTTTTGGCACACCTGTTTATGCATCTTGTCTGCACATGATCTGAAAATATCAGACCCAGTTCATTCAAGGGAGCCTCTTATAGCTTACACGTTTCAACTTACTGGATTCGAG